AAGACAGGATGTTGTACTCGTGAACGCAAGGCAGCTGTGGCTCTTTCACAAGACCTCCTCAGAATCAAGCTAGTTAAAATTCCTTTGAGGAAGGAGGGAGGCGCTTGCCTAGCCCAACCTCCAGCAGAGGAGCGATTGGCAGTTGTGACCTGCTGGGAGAGGGTGCTTCTGTTTTCTCCAGGAATGTGGCCCCTGGATGGTGCCGACGCGCCAGAGAATGGCCCTGCACCCAATCACATCCCGGAAGCACTGACTGTACTCAGTGGCTTTGGAAAAGACGACGTGAAGTTGAGAGGAAGGTGGGGGCACTGGAAGGAATTAAAAGAGGGGCTAGACAGAACCAAAATATACTGATTATATGTATTAAATTCTCAAAGAATAAACAATATTTATACAGGGAAGAGCACGGCGTCTGGTTCCCGGAGGTGGCTGTGCAGGCATATGCCTCTGTTCTTGGGGCTTCACTTACTTGCCCAGCGATAGGTTTATTGCAGGAGCCACAGAGGCCTTTGGCCTGAGTGGGCACCCCACGGCGGCTGAGGTCGGACTGCAGTAGGCCCAGCATGGTGTCCAGACTGCCCTTGCTAGTCTGTCCTGGTGGAGAAGGGCTCCCCTCTTGGGTGGTGCTCACCGCTGGTGGCTGAGATGGCCCCGAGGCTGGAAGCTGCAGTGGGGAGGACATGGATGTTGAGTCAACAAGGCCACAGATTGGAAGCATCAGAACTGGATTGGTGAACCACAGAATGACACCAGGCAAAATCCTTCCAGACTCACGTGGTTCTGGACACGGAAGTCAGAGAGTGATGCCATCAGTCTATCCAACTCCAGAGTGGCTGAGGTGGCTGAAGGCTTTGAGGGGGCGGGCAATGGACTGGGAGGGCTGTGGAGAACACAGTGGTAGAACCTCAGAGCCTGCTAGCATGATGCCTCCTCTAGTAAGCCAGGCATCCAGGACCCACCACCTCCTTCCTAGCTCTGCCAGACTCACACACTGGGTGGGTTCTTGTTTTCAGCTTGGTCCTCCTTCTCCTCCCCTTCAGCCATCTTACTAGATGGGAACTGGGACATTATTTCATCTGGAGAGATGAGAAAAATAACACGAGGCAAGAGGCCGCTCTCAGTTCATCCTCCCAGCGAAGGCTTCGTGTCCTTAGACTCTGCCCTGCTTTGCCCCGTCCCCAACCCATCGAAGACTGGCTCCGTAACCCTGGTACCTGTGATGTTGAACTGGGTGGCATTAAGTTCCTGAAGCAAACGATCTAGCTCACAGAGCCCATTGCCCAGGACACCGCTGGAAGAGGAGAATGGAGGGGCCACAGGGGCCACAGGTTTCGGTGACCGAGGCTTACATACTGTGCTACAGGAAAGAAGGGAATGTGGGTTTAGGGAAGGGAATCCAAGTCCCCTCGCCTGAACTTCATCTAGTTTCTCCATCTCCATGTCCCAGTGACCAAGTCTTTCCTCTCACCTATATAGGTGGTCCTTGTCCCCAGAGGTTCCCGAAGGTTCTCCAGATCCTGTCTACAGAGAGTAGAGATGTGTATGGAAGGACAGTCATGTTCCTTGCCTCACGCGGACTCTGACTTCCCCGAGCCCAGACCAACCCAGGCCCTGGTGGCTGCCCCAGACCCCAGAATCTCATCTCACCTGTGGCTGGTGGCCATAGGGTGGGGGAGGTGTGAGTGTCTCTGGTGGGCGCTCTTTTGGAGCCCCTAACCGTGACATGTGTGAAGTGGTGGTCTCCAGGTCAGAGAGCAGGGCATCTGCAGTGAGAGGCCCTTGGGTAAGAGGTCTGGGGGGTGAGGGTGTCAAGGTCTTAAGTGCTGAGAGGATAAGGGTTCCAAGTGGCAGAATTTGAAAAGATAGAAGCCGGCGTTAGAGGCAGAGGCTAAGAAATCTAAACATGGGGCCAGGCTAAGGCAAAGAAGTGGTATGGTAGCAGGGGATATTTATGACCAGCCATCTCCCTCGACTCATCCTGGGAGCCAAGTACGAACCTAGTCACTTGACTCTTTGATTCCCCCCAGCTTTCCTGATGCAGTTGAGATTGGCTCTTACAGAACCCCAATCGTTCAATCGGCTGTATGCTTGACACCCAACCTCCTGGTTAACTGTTCTCTGTCCCACACTCACTAATTCTTCCCCATATTTAAACAGCCTGGCCAACCTGGCTCATTTGTTGGTCATAATGGAGTCTCACCCAGTCCTCCTCAGGGGCAAGGCAAGTGGTACTGGCAGGGAGCTGCTTTTTGGTGGACTTCTTATCCATGTACTATTATTGAGGAGCGCCCTCTGCTGTTGGGTCCAGAAATCCCACCACAGGGATCACAACCTTCCGGACCCAGCCTCCGCAAACCGAGAGGATAAGACGCCTGGGGCGTTTTGAATTTAGGAGCTCCCGGTCCCTTTTCTCTGAGCTTAAACTTCTTTCTCTCACCTTGGCACTGTCTGTTATTCTCTTTCTTGCCCTGAGGACTTACCTGACCTCTGCTATACTTCGGAGCTTGCTCTTCTCTCTCCTTGAAACACTGGTACCGGCTATCTGGCCCCTTTTCATCCTCGAAACTTGATGTCACACTCTCCTCTCTAGTCCGTTTTCCCAGTCTCAAAACCCAAGGATCCTTTAACTCCTTCCTTCCCAAAGCCTCTTAATCCAAGCCCCCCGTTGGTGTCTTAACGCCTAGTCCATTGCACAAACCGGGCTGAGGGAGCAGAGCCAGCGAAGAACGGAGAGCGCGGCGCTGCAAGCGAGCCAGGAAGGGAGAAGCAGGAAAGGGTACGTGGATTTGGGAGGGAGACGCAGGCAGGCAGAGGCAAGAAAATGGTGGAAGAAACTCAGGATGGGGGAAATGTGGGAGAAGAGGGCAGACGCAGGCAGGGGTGAGAAGCTAAGGGGATCCGGTCCCTACTCACCCAGGTCCTCCATGGCGGTGCGCTGGCGGACAGCTTGGGGCAAGCAGGGCGGGGGCCGTGTCCGGTGGGGGCGGGGGATGGGGGGGGGGACGTCAGGGAGTTAGAAGCAGGGCCGTGACCATGTATGGAAGCCAGGACCCGCTGGGATACGATCGAGGGGGGAGCGATGAAGGGGGAGAAGGGGACATGAAGAAAGACAGCACCAGGGCCCACCCAACCAAGCCAGCGTTCTGGCTCTGCTCAGAGGCCACACCCCAGCTTTTGCCTCCGCGGCAAGTCCTAGAAGCTGAAGCCAAGTCAGAAGTGGTTCTTCCATAGCTTCTGCCTAACTAAGGAGTCTCATAAGTCGAAGCCCCCAAGCCCGCTCCTCCCAAAGCCAGCACCTGAGTTCTAGGCAGGGCTCCCACTCCCACCCAGGGTATTTTTAAAAGACTTATCTCTTGCAAAATTTTGTTAGAGGCAGGAGTGGCATTCTAAGGATCTATCAGACTCCCAAGTTCTGACAGCCAGCCAAATAGAAATCGCAGGGCAAGAGGCGTGCACACAAAAAAATGTCTCACACAGAGAGCACCGTGAATCCAGACTCTAAGACAGGTCTTTCCCTGCAAAACATACATGGAAACAGGTATACAAAACAGAGAGAGCAAAACCCAGACCTAAACCCCACATAAACTCCCAGGAAACAAACCACAGACAACTTGTAAAAGAAAACCTTTCCTAACACTGAAGTGATCAGAGTACATCCCACAACTCTTGTCACCCTTCTGGCCCTGATGAAATAGTCTTTCTGGTACTGATGAAAGAGAAGAAAGCATCGAGACTCCAATCACAAGAGTGACAAGCTGTCTCTGTATGACTCCCTAAAAAAAAAAAAAAGTTGGAAACACCTGGAGATGGGTGTGAACCGACGGCTGCTGTCTTACAGCCACCCTGAAGAACGGATCTAAACGATGGACTATGGGCCTTGAGCCAGGAACAAGTCAGAACCTGTAAAAGTTTGGTAAAAAATACTAAAACTCAGCATAGTCCTCCATGCCAGCCTAAATCAGAAAAGGACAAGGCATATGTACCTAAGTACATAGGATCTCACTGTGCAACCCTAGAACTCAGAGGTCCACCTGCCTCTGCCTCCTGAGAGCTGGAATTAAAAGTGTGCGCAACTACACCTTAAATGTACAGCCTGAACCAGGGAGGCTCAGGGACAGCAAGAGCCACCCTAACTCAACTTTCTGCAATGCCCAGACCCTGGCAGGCTCAGTCCACGGCTCTGAGAGCCCAGTGATTGAGACCCTTCCTTCACTTCAACACCAGTAAAGCGACATCCTCTGAGCATGACCAAGAGAGGCCTCAGAAACCCTGAGAATATAGTGGCTCTCCCCTAGGCAGATGACATTTTAAAACTTGGCTTGAACTGGGAAGACAGCTCGGCAGGTAAAGGTACTTTTCTGCCAAGCCAAACGACCTGCGTTTGGGAACCACATGACAGAAGCAGAGAAGAAGCGCTCTCAAGTTACCCTTGACCTCCACATAGGAGCCACGGCATGCACACACTCACACACGAATTAGTGTCTTAAAGAAAAACATGGCTTGAGATGGGAGTGGACACAGAGACTGAGACAGGGGACAGTCGGAAGGCAGAACTGCTATTACATGCCACCACACTGGGTGCCCTCAGCCCAAACCTCCCAGCCATGGCCAGCTTCTGTATTTAGATGGGTGGCTATGTCTAAGCAATGAGGATCCATAAACAGAAAGCTGGCCTCCTCCAGGGGTCCAAAACTATCCCACAGAAAACCCACACTATCCTAGGCCTATAGTAATGGCTAGGCAATTATTTATTGACTTGTAAGTCCAAGGATAGACCGTGTGAAAGCACGGGGTTCTTGGCAGGGGAATGGTGGCGCACCCCCAGAGGAAAGCACGGGGTTCTTGGCAGGGGAATGGTGGCGTACCCCCAGAGGAAAGCACGGGGTTCTTGGCAGGGGAATGGTGGCGTACCCCCAGAGGAAAGCACGGGGTTCTTGGCAGGGGAATGGTGGTGTACCCCCAGAGGAAAGTAAGCAGAAACATCACACGACAGCAGTGTCCAAATCTCAAGTTTTTAATGTTGACACCATAGGGCTTGGTCAGACCAGATCCTGGGGCCCTGAGCTGTCCTCTTGGACTCTGTGCGCAGGCTCTGGTGTTGTTTTCTCAGCCGTGGATCTTGAGATCTTCAGCCTGGGGCTCAGTTCCACTTGCTCGACAGTCCCTGAGGATAGCTCCTTCTGCAGTCTCCCCTCATGCCATGCTGAGAGAAGCCTACTATACAGCCAACTCACCCCTGAGTGCTCCCCCAGGGAGGCCAACAGTTTATCCAAGAGCATCTGTACTATGACTCAGTCTCCGTTACCACAGCCAGCAAAGTTTCAGTGAGAGGCCCTGCCTCCTCACCTGCGGCTTCCAAGAGCCCCATGAGAGCCAGGGCCCGTTTTCTAGGGCACCGCCCTGGCACCAGTGTCCATCGTGCACAGTGGACAGTCAGCCGGGGCCGACCTAAGCGGAGTACCTCACTCACTGACTCAGGGCCACTCTGGGGACCCAAGTAGATGTGGGCAACAGCCTCTTCTAGTTCTTCCTCTAGTGCAGGCAGCAAGAAACGGCCAGCAGCCTCCAGAGCTTCCTCAGCCTTGGAGCCCAGCAAGGGCTGGTCGGGAGGGGGTATGGGCCTCCGAGCAGCCCCACAGCTCTGACAGCCATGCAAATGATGTAGGACAGGCCACGCTGCACTAGGGGACAGGCCTCGAAGTGGCACCAAATCCATCTGGGCTTCAGCAAAGCTGCCGGATAGCAGGGCCCGGAAGAAAGGGGAGGCAGCAGCTGAAGCAGCCCGCTGAGCAGGGAGCCGTAGGCCTGAATCCAGAACAAAGTGCAGGTCAGGAGCTGGGAGAGGGGCTGGACCCAGGAGAGGTTCATAGAGGCAAGGGGATGTGGCAGGGACGAGGACTGGGCTCACAGTGGGAGACACCAGGGCTCGGAGGCAGGAGAGGGAATCTGTGGCAAAGAAGAGGAAGAGCGGGTGTGGAGCTGGCTGTGTCAGCGCTTCGAGGAGGTGGCGGAGGCCACCCTGGTCCAGGAGTAAGCGGCGCCACAGAGTAGGCTTCCTGTGGGGAAAGGGGGGTCTTTGAGTGTGGGGGGGGTGTCTCGGGGCAGCACAGGAAAGGCACAGTCTTACCCACGCTCCCCGCAGCACACCCGCCTCCCCCTCACCGGCAGATGAAGGGTAGTGTTAGTGCACAGGCCACTCGGTCCTCAGGACTCCCAGAGAGCATCAGGTGGGTGAGGGCACCTACTCCAAAGGGGGACTCAGCCTGAACAGTCAGGTTCTGCAGCAGCATCTCACCTGCAGGGACAGGCACAGCAGGTCAGGTGCTGTGGGCAAGACAGGACTCTGAGTCCATAAAACAAAGGAGAGTAAACTCTCAGGGCAAGAAATCAACAGAGGAGTGCCAAGAGTACCGGTCAAGGACAGGCAAGTGGATGGCCAGGGTGCAGATCGGGGCCCCTAAGGAATAAAACAGCCTACAGTCAGGCCAGAAGACAGGGTAGTCCTGAGATGAAAACTGTCAGTAGTAGAGCCTGAGAGGACACAGTGCTTCGGTCTGAGTTCATAAGTGTGCCCAGGGCAGAAACAGGACCACGCAGAACAAGAGCAGAGTGGGTAAAGAAATGAGGGAAGGTCCGATTCTACAGCACTAGGAGCCAAACCTGGTGACCAGGTTATTTGGGCCCCAAGGTTTGGACAAAGGACAGAACAGAACTCTCTGTATTCCAGGGCTATGGAAGAGGCGGGAAATTCCCCGGCCTTCCAGCCCCCCACCCTCAATGCCTGGGGCTGAGAAGCTTAGATGGTAGGCTGCAGAGAACGGTGAGGGCAAGTGAAGGAGAGGTTCTAGGATCACATAAGGTATGGGAGGAAATGGGCCTTTTGTGTGGGCAGGGACAGGGGAAACATACCCAGCTCTCGGTGCTGGCTTCGGTGTGCAGGCCGGGCACATGCCACAGGCCAGTCATCTGGTGAGACACCGAATATGAGCCAGGCACGCAGCAGCGCTGCACCATAGCTGCGCACAAAGGCCTCAAGGCAGGCAGGGTTACAGGTGAGACGCGCCAAGATGCGTAGTGCACGCGGGTTTGGTGGTCCCGGTGCACCTGTCACGTAGGCCAACAGGCCGCACAGTGCTGGGCCAGTCACTAGAGCTCCACTCGGGTCAGGAGCCTGGGAGAAGCGTGATAACAGCAACAGTGCTGGCCCCTCCTGGCCCCAAGGCTCGTCGGCAGTGGCAGCGGGAACGCGGGCCAGTTTGCGCAGTGTGCGGGGTGTCGACATTGAGGGCTGGCCAGGGGTAGGGCTGACTGACTCAGATGGCTCTGGCATCGGACAACGCTCAGGAGACCAATCTGGGGAGATATCTCCAGGGCCTGCTGCATAACCCTCAGAAATCAGCCACAACCTACAGAGGACAGGAGGAAAAGGAGTCTGAACCCAGAGCCAAGGTGAGGAAGCAGAATCCAGAAAGATGGTTCTGCGTCACAAACTCAAGGCAAGCCTGGGAGAGTGAGATCTGGGACAGCCTGCTGAGATACTGTCTCAAAAAGGGAAAAAAAAAGTAGATAGATGGGACGGAGAGAGGGAAGAAGGAGAAATTAAGGAAGGAGAAGGGAAACAGTTCCGTGAAGACGTGTAAACTGAGGTGGGGCCACACCTCATTCTGAATTACTAGTGTTTACGATGTGCCAAGTCCAGCTTCAGGGGCTCAAGAAAAGCAATGAACAAAACATTATTCTGGGGTTTATGATCTACTGAGGAGAAACAGCCCAAGCAAGTAAACCATGTGATGTGACCAGGTACACAGTGTTTTATGCCTGTGATCCTGACACTTGGGGCACTGATGCAGGAGAATGGTTAAGTTTAAGATCAGCCTAGGCTATGGAGTGAGATCCCTTATCCAAACAAAACAAAACAACCAACCCTTTCCTGGTATGTTGCTGTCAGGGAGGCTTGGTAACAGAACGGGGACCGGGACACTGAAGGTCAGAGGAGAGGCGAGATATTAAATAAGATGGTGACCACGACCCCTCGCAAAGACGGAAAGAACCGAACAAAGTTTTGAAGGAGGTGAGAGACGAAGGCACACAGGAGGAAGAGTGTTCCAGACAGAGAGACTCTCTGAAGGTACTAGAGAGAGTGGAGATGTAGCTGGAATCCCCGAGGCTGACATTATTGGCCATCACTTGGAGTTAGGTCAGGGTAGGCTCGGCAACAACTCTGTATGTAGGCTGCTGCCCTCCACTGTACACACGTGAAATCGGCAGCTCAGAAAAGTCAGTTAGTTTCCCAAATGTTTCAGTGATGGTAACAGAATAAGAGCAGGGCAGGAGGATAGCTTCAGGTTCAAGGACAGCCTGGGCTACACAATGAGATTCAGGCAGCCTAGTCTCCAAAGTAAAACACTATCTCAAAAATTATAAACAAATAAATAAAAATTGGGCTCCATAGCATTCCACTGTAACTAGGACACATGCCACCCCCAATCAGAGTTCTGGAATGATGGGGTGGAGCCAGGGTCAAATGGCAGACCAAGTGATATTAGGGAAGAGCGGTGAACTAGGAATACATCTTGGCAAATCTCTTAAGGCAGAAACGAGGCAGAGGTAAGGAAGATGGCCAGAGCAGACACAAACTCCCTCCCCAAACACCATCCATCCCTCAGGCCCTAATAAGAGGACTCACCTAAGGCTTCGGAAGCTTCCTGCCTCTATCTGCCCAGGGGTCCGTTCCTCAGGGAAGTCCCAGGAAGCAGCTTCTATTCCTTCTTCTTCCTCTTCGCCAGCTTCACCACATAACTGCCTGGCCAGAAGAGGCACAAGGCCCAGAGCCTGTAACTTGCCCAAGGCCCCCGTATCATAAAGGAAGCCTACAAGGGCAGCCACAACACGTGGATGCCAGGCACTGGCACCAGGGTCCTGCAACAGGCCCATCAGCAGCTCCAAACCACCGGCGTCCCGAAGCCGGGCCCGGTTGATGGCTTCACGGCACAAGAGACACACAGCCCGCACTAGGGGCTGCTGGGAAGCTGAGCTGGTCCCGTTGGGCCCCCGTCGCCGCCGAAGCTCACCTAGTAATACCTCCACACCACCAGCATTGCCCAGTGCGGGCCGCACCAGGCCCTGCGCACACAGATTGGCAAGGATCAGGATGGCCGCCTCACGTATTGCCCGTTTAGGGTGAGAAGCCAAGCTGACAAGAGGGCCCAGCCCCCCACCCAGACTTAGCTGCTCAGCACAGGCCCGGGAACAGCCTCGGCTGAGTTCCAAGAGAGCGCGGACTAGAGCCGAGGTCAGCGCAGGGTCGGGGGCAGTAGCCAGGAGCTCAGCCAGTGGCCGAACTGCTCCCTGCTGTGCCAGGGCTAGGCGGTGCTGGGGTGAGTCAGCTAAGTTGCGCAGGGCACGGACTATACTCTGGAGACACTGTGAGTCCTGGCAGGCCGTCAGGCTCTCAACAAGGAAGGGAACAGCCCCTGGAGGAGGAAGCGGGAGACAGACGGTGAACAAGGGTAGACTCGGGAGTCCTCCCACTACAAATCTCAGCAACTCCACTCTCGCAGTCTTCTCACCAGCAGAGTGGATGTCCCTGCAGCTCTCAGCTTCCATGGCTAAGTTCCCCAGAGCACGAGCCGTTCGATTCTGGATGCTGTCTGTCTTCACACACTGAAGAATGGTCACTGCAAGGAGAGTTTGTCTTCTGGATGGCTCTACCCCATAACTGTTTCTAATCAGTCATCTCTAGATGTTGTAAATGTCCAGGGATTCAGGTCAGTCGTAGAGTGCTTGTCTAGCTTGTACCAAACCCTGAGCCAATCTCCAACAACCCAAGGGCGGGGGTGGAAGAGAGAGGAGGGGGAAAACATGATGCGAGGGTTAGGGAAGATCAGAAGATGCTGAGAGGTGAGCGAGAGCTGGACAGCTGAACGGATACTTGCCAGAAGGAGGGCAAACAGGAAGGCCAGAGTCTCAGGTTTGGAAGCAGCTCTTCCAAATGCCCCCGGGTAATGGTGTCTGTTCTACGATTTCACGAAGTCCCTCAGATAACTGTCCATGGAGTCAATTAAACGTGAAGGCAACAGCAGCCACAAAGGGGTTTTAAGAAGGGCAGTGACATTACACACTTGGGCAACTGTAGGGGTGGGATGTTACAAGGGATGGGAGGATGGTTGAGCCTGTCATGACAGTCCAGGTAACTTGTCCAGGTAATTGAAGGGGTGGATGGGGTATTACAAGAGAAAGGAGCAGGGACAGGGACGGGAGGATGGTTAGCCTGTTTTGACAGTCCAGGTAACTGTATTGGCGGGGTATTACAAGAGAAAGAAGCAGGGACGGGAGGATGGTTGAGGCTGTCATGACAGTCCAAGTCAACTTTCATTCCTGCCACTCAAAAGGTAATCGTGCCCAGCACAAAAAAGCGGAAGCAAAGTTAGAGAGAACTTGGTTATTTACGAGGCTCTTGTCAAGGCTCTTGTCAAACACATTACTGTACAAGTGCATTCTATGCAAGTTTTAAATATATAAATGCTTCACTTTAAAAATTTAGATTTTTGCCAAAACTGGCTTACTATCAGAGGAAAAGCAATGACACAATTTTATTTCCATCATTACCATTAGGAGGCGCCAAATCAGCCTATACGGTTTTAAGTACCCAGCCTGTGCTTGGAGTCTGGGCATTCTATATTTGAATTTCATTTTGGCCCACTTCAGTCTTGTCGGATAGTTAGTTATTACACAAGGGATTCTAGCTTTGGAGGGATTGATTTGCCTGGCGTGTCTGACTGCACCATTTCCTAAGTCCATTAATTCTCTGAACTTTTAAAACTACCGCCTCCAGCTCATCCACGTGAAGCCATGCACAGGGACGCACACAGCAGTAAGCACTGTCCGCGAAAACACCAAAATAAAGTGCAAACCATTCGTTCAAAAGTGAGGCAGGGGTCAAAACCTAGTCCTGGTCTGGGAGGGTCCGGGTATAATTTATAGGGAGAGGAGTGACGTCACACAGCATGACACCGGAGATGAGTGGCGCTACAGCATCCATCACAAAGCTTGCACTCAGAGACGTGCCGTAAGAACAGGGCTAAGACTGCACAGGACTAAGAAATGGGGCGGAGCACTTACCCAAAGGGAGAATGCCTCCAAGTCGACGCACTTCGGCTCGGCACGCCCCTTCCGTACAGCAGTTGGCTAGAATGCTGAGCGCCAGATCCAGCGTCTTGCGCAGGCGCACTGGCGACGAAGGCGGCAAAGACGACTCAGCGGCGGGGGCGGGGCCAGGGGAAGAACCAGCTGACGCAACCGACGAAGGGGCGGAGCCAGAGCCTGCTGGGGACGGGGCGGGGCCCGCGGCAGCCGTTCGGCGTAGCAGGGAGAGAAGGGGGCGGAGCCCGCCGCGTGCCCGGAAGCGCTCAATTCCCTCAGCTGCCTTGATGTGGCGCGTGCGAAGCGCTAAGAGCGCGCGGCCCAGGGGTGTCTCGTTGGTAGCGGGGTCCTTTCCCCAACCCGGCCCCTCCCCGGCCGCCGCCGTGAGTTGCGCGAGGCAAAACGAGAGCGAGTCCGTAAGGGCCGGTCTCGCAGCCGCCATCTTGGCCCGGGCCTGAGGCTCCGCCCCGCGCCTCGCCGGTTCCCTGAGAGAGCGGAACTGGAGGAGGGGGGCGTGGCCAGGCTGCTGCTCTGAATGGCGCCGCCGCAGTTAGCAGTTATCGTGCGAGTCGGAAGTTGAAGTTCTAGAGTCTGGAACTTGGGTACTTGCACAGTCGCAGAAGACATGGCGAGAATGGTATTTATCTGGGTGAAAGCAAGAGGCGCGTGCGATGCATGCTGGGATATGTAGTCGGTTTAAAGTGGGTGAGATACTTCCCAGGGTTTAGGAGTGAGCTGTTGCTTCTAGAGCCAGACGGCCCGCTATGGGAGTCTGTGCTGCTCAACGTGACTTAGCGACTCCGCTCCCGGTACGTCCTTGTCAGCGACCGCCTTTCCTCATTCAGATTTTATTGGCAACCCTTAAGCGCGGTGGTCGAGCACTAGACTGATCGCCTCAGAACTCCAAGTCCTCGTTAAGTGAATGAGCGAGTTAAACCTACCGAGAAAGTTCGCTGCTGCTTCCTAGAGCAGCTCGGGCTTGAAGACCTTTCCGTTTCCGGTACTGGCCTCCGAGCCCCAAATGCCTCTTTTCTCCAGCTATGCTGACGAGCTAAGCGGGTGGCATTTCGGAAACCGAGCACTTTTCGCCCGCTATGGAACTTGCGGCGCCAGAGGCAGGTAGGGAGAATCCAGATGGGGCAAAGCTAGTGGGAAACCGGACGTCAAAATTCCCGGGAGCCCTTGATCGCGAGGCTGAGCTGCATGAGCGCCCTCTCCTGGCGCGGCCGGAGCAAGCCGCTGGGGGAAAGTTGCTGGTCCAGCAGTACCTATGTAGGTCAGGCTCAGGCGCTGAGCAAGAAGCCTTTGCCAAGACCGATGATCCTGCAGTCCCCAAAACTTTCAGGTGTCGGAATTGTGGGCTGACTGTGGCCAGCCTCTCTGACCTCATTCACCATCAAAGCAGCCATGGGTGTGACCGACCTTTCAGCTGTCCAGAGTGTGACAAAAGCTTCCGGCGTGGCTCAGATCTGGTTAAGCACTACAGAGTGCACACTGGTGAAAAACCCTACCCTTGCCCAGAATGTGGCCGTTGCTTCAGCCTCAGCTCTAATCTCACTAAACATCGCCGTTCTCATTCCGGTCTTCGGCCTCATAAGTGCATGGAGTGCGGAGAGGCCTTTGGCCGCAGTGCTGACCTAGCAAAGCACCAGCGGGTACACACTGGGGAGAAGCCCTATGCTTGTGCTGAGTGTGGTAAGGCTTTCAGGGTTAGCTCCAACCTCATCCAGCACCAGCGCACTCACACTGGAGAGAAACCCTACCGCTGTGGACTCTGTGGCAAGAGTTTCAGTCTGAGCTCTAACCTTTTACAGCACCAGCGCTGTCACACGGGTGAGAAACCCTACTTCTGTGTCTGGTGTGGAATCAGCTTTGGGCGCAGTTCCTATCTGCTGGAACACCAGCGTTCACACACCGGGGAGAAGCCCTACAATTGCTGCGAGTGTGGCAAGAACTTCACCAACAGCTCTAACTGCCTGAGGCACCAGCGCACTCACAATGGAGAACCGCCTTTCAGATGTCTGGAGTGTGGGCGTGGCTTCAGTGAGAGCACCAGGTTCATTGAACACCAGCGCATCCACTTGAGCAAATGACCGACCTTTCCAGAGTGTGGCAAAATCTTACACCACAGTTCTATTAATGTTCACACATTAGAAGTGTCCTGGTGGCAGCTAGTATTTTGTGGACAACACCAGCATATCCACACAGGCCAAAGACCTCACATTTGCAGCAAGTGTGCCAGGAGCCTCAGGCAGGTTTCCCATTTGCTCTTCTACCAGGTGATGCACAGTAGCAAGGAGACTTACATCTGCCTGTAATGTGGCGAGGCCTTTGCCCGTAACTCCCAATCCTGTCTAACACCAATGGATTACCAGGACGGGAGCTTCTGCATATATCCCTGGCTTCAATTTTAATCCAAATTTTATTTCTGGGGTTGGTCCAGTCCTGAGAAGCCTGAAGGAACGAGGATTTTTTTTTTAAACAAACCTCTTCTGCATCACTAAGGTGGTTTAATTAATGGCTGATAATAGGACTCAATATTGCCATTTGGATTGAGACAGGAACCCCAGGCTAGAAGAACATAGCACTAGAGCTGTGACTACTACCTTCAAAGAGAAAAGATTTAAAAAAAAAAAGTTCTATTCTGTGAGGTTACATCCAGAATGTTCATTAGCTAGAAGGAAGTTTTTAGGTATCCAGAGCCACATGGAAGTTTTTAGGTATCCAGAGCCACATAATCCCGACCCAGCTGCTTTGAGATAGGTTAACCATAACAAAAGCAACAATTACTTTTTCCCAGAGGAAGAGGACTTACAAGCCAGGCAAAGTTCCTGTTGAGTACTATAGCAGAAGAGGTTGAAGGTAGACCAGAGGGGATCATAAAGAAGGTTATGTTCTAGCTAAGGGACCAAAGAATTTGAATTTGGGATTGTTACATAAACTCTGGGTGTAGGATCCCATTCAAAGAACTATTATCACTTTAACTATCTTTACTGTTCACACTAAGATGGTGGGGAATGAGATCAAAACAAACTTTTGAGTTCAGGATGCTTTATGGTATTTCTAGGTATGGGATTTGTTATCTGGCCTTTTCTTAGTCCTTAATGCCTTCCCTCAAAAAATTCCCTTCACTCATTCCTCCCCACCACGTCCCACACACACTTCCTCAGTCCCCTCTGGAAGAATAGTGAAGACTTCTGAACTTTTGAGATTACACGGCCTTTTTGTCTAACATAGAAGCAGGTTGCTCACCCGAATGTATTTCTGTTGCTAAAATTAGTGTATTTGAGAGTTGGGAGGTTTTCCAAAGCATTGTATAATCATTAATCAGATGATTATGTCCAAGCAGATGCAGTCAGAACATATTCCTGAGAGGCATGGACTAACCTTTTAAGGTGTTTTCTGTTTCAAGGACCGACTAGCTCCTTTGTGACAGTCCACTTTCATCCTTAACTGCAAACTCTTTGTCCCCTGCCCTCCAGCTCTGCTGCATCTAGAACTGGGTCTATATAGAGTAAGAGGCTAAAGAGGAACAATGTCAAGTGTCCAGGTTTGTCTCTTCCTAGCTGTGTGGCCCATCACCTCTTCTGGGTCTCAGTTGCTTCATCTGTGAAACGTGCAGTCTACCTCACCAGGCCGTGAAGAGTCCATGAATATACTTACTTTCATGAAGTACCTGCTTAGGGAAATGGCTCAGTAAGCCTCAGTTCTCCTCAAGTCTGGAGTCCTGTTGATTATGTCATTCAGAAAGCATCATGGCAGCTCACAGATCAGCTTCTGAGATTTCAGAAATGAATTGTCCTGGAGTAGACTATTGTCCCATAAAGGCAATGTCACCTGGAGCAAATCTGAAAGGCATGACTCAGGTGATGTCTAATAAAGAGCTCTGGCTCCTCAAGCTGGGTAGAAGAAACTTACTCCAAGCAGGAGTAAGTAATTAAAGAAATTCTGGATGTGTTCCCATTTAAAAAACACAACCCAAAGTTTGAGTTGAATACCTGAGCATAGCACATACATAATTGGCACTCAATAAATAGCTATGATTGGGTTCTGTTTATACTGCTTACTATTGTCTTTGGGTCCCTTACAATGAGAGAGTAAATATTTTCCCCATACCTGTGTATGTGTGTTAAGCACATGGCACAGGTGAGCATGGAAGGCTGCCTTCTTACATTAGAGCATATAATCACTGGACCTTCTATCTGAACTGTAGCACTAATAATAAAAAGCCAGAGACAAATATTGGGGTTCAACCTAAAAACCAGAAAAGCAAAACAGCCAAGCCACTAGAGAAGTCTTACCTATACTAAGGCTGGGTAACCGCAGACTAAGCAGGTTAAACAGACTGAGCCTCTCTCTCCTCCCATTTTATATTCCTTCTAGGACTGGAATTAAAGGTGTGAGCCACCACCACTTGTATTTGTTTCTGCATTGATCTTGTGTAGCTCAGAGTGACCTTGAACTCACAGATCTGTCTCCCAAATCCTGGGATTAAAGGTATGTGCCACCACTGCCTGACCTCTAGTGGCTTAGCTTTGCCCTTCTGATCTTTAGGCAAGCTTTATTTATTAAAACATAAATAAAATATCACTATATTCCCCTTTTTGTCTAAAATAAAAGAAGGCTATAACTAAGAAAAACTATATATAGTATGTAAAATAACTATATACAATATATACAGACAATAAGTACAACAATGTCTTGTCCATTTGTTTAACAAATTCAGAGGAAATACTGCATATTTTCCCTATCTTGGTGAGTCCAAAGTCTTGTACCTAATTTACTTTCTATCTTGCTTTCTCTGTTAAACAAGGAAAACTATATCTAGTCTTCAACTCCCTCAGAGACCCAAGAAGGAAATAATATTAACTGAGTAAGCAGGAAGTACAAGCAAGCAACCTCCAAAAATGTAATGACAGAAACAGCTGGCTGGCTGGGCAGTCTCTCAGAGTTCCTCTGCAAGTGTGGGGCATCCATCTTTGGCCTACAGGCTTAGCATATCCAACAGATGTTTCTGTGGCAGTCGAGAGAAGGGCATTTTCTTGTCCAGCTGCTTACTTTTGCCACAAAGAAAAACTCCATGTGGAATTTCTTTGATGCCCATTATCTTCTCTGAAGTAGATTGGTGCTTCCAGGAGTAGACATGTCTCATTATCAAAAAAAAGAAGAACCTAGGTTATTAAAACATCTTAAATCCATATTCTGTAGATCTCTGAAGTGTTTGAAGATAACCTGTCTATCTAAAATCCATCTTTGTTTGACCTTGAAAACATACCTAATGTGACTACAAGTTTGATTATACTAGGTGATTAACTACTAACCTGCATTTTCTTATTATCCTTAACAGTTGGTAATAATAATTTTCAAGGACTAGAAATTTGCATTACATTGTTAAATAAGTTATGTAGGTACAATACCTTGATCAAGAGTAGAAATGTTTGTACAATATATTCTAACAAAATTAATCTCAATATACAAAATTTGTATACAATATACAAAAGTCCAATCCAATGTAAAACATTTAAAACATAAAAATAGTTTCAATAATCTACCCTTTTATCCTATCATCTATATCCCCCCTTTTTCTTTTCAAAACAAGAACCTTGGATCTAATTTCCTTTGTTTAACTTTTTTCCTGGCCATTACCACTAATAACTTATAA